AGGTTACAAGTGGGTCAATGTATAATGGATTGTATTAAACTTGAACTCAATGATATAATATCATAATATCATTGTATAAGAAAAACGATTCTGAGAGAAGACGGTTTGTCAGTCTGGATATTTTATATTGTTATTATTTATTATAGCCTGTAAGTTGAATTAATAATGAAATACTTTTATTTTTTATTTTTTTCTATGGTGATAGACAAAGTGTTAGAAATTAAAATCCCATTTTTAGGGGTTTTTCGTAATTTTGTCCGGACCCCATGGACCCCCCCCCCCCGTAAATACGCCACTGTAGCATACATGTATAAATAATCTTATTTAATAATTTAAAAAATCGAAAATATTTCATGGCTACAAATAGTGTAACTTTCCTGTGAAATCTTATTTTGTTAAAGGTAGAAAAACTTGTGAGGAGTCGTCTGTTAAAATTTCTAATTATGTTAGGTATGAAAAGAATTCCTAACTGTAAAATTTCTTTTGTTACATGCTTTTCTTTAACTCACAATGTTTCATTCCTGTTGTCTTCAAATCTTGCGCGCTCGATTTGAGGCACTTATTTACGATGAAAAATTCTGAAAATTGGTATAGACATAGGTATTGGAAGGCAATACAATAATCCGTTGTTATTTTGGGACCCGGACTTCCAGGTCGGCGATGACGGGTGTGCAAAGTCATCTCCGAGGAAGAAGAATAAATAATATACAGGTACGAAATTTTGTTTATAAACGGTTTCCATGGGTTATAAAACTATTATAATAATAATTACTTTTAACTTTTAACGCGTTTCATTGTTAAAACAGTAAGAAAATCCTACATAGAGATTGACAAAGCGTATAGATAATAAAATACTAAACAAATAATAATGTATAAAGAGCATTAAAATATAATATTACATAGTTGCTTATAATATTCAAATGTACCGAAAATAATAAATATTATGCTCTCAAAAAATCGTTTGTTTCTAATTTATAGTTATCACTAAAAAATAGAAAATAAAATAAATAAAAAAATAATTTTTAAAAACATGCTTTTCTTAATACTACTTAATAAATGAACGAAAAAAAAAAAAAATCTTACTTTTAAAACAATTTCTTAATGAAACTTCAAGGTTAACAAGATATTTCTAAAAGTGTTTATAAAATGTATTTGTTGAACAATTTTTAAAAATTCTGAATTACAAAAAAAAGAAATGCATGGGGCTCTTATGAGTCAGGAATATCTCTTACAAAATTGTGAGTGTGATCAATAATCTTTAAAATATTTATCATAAAGTTTATATAAAAATTCAGTTGTAGAGTGACTTTACGTATGACTTATCATAAGTATATAAGTTATCTATTTTCATAAAAGTGTCCAATAACAACAAAATTCAACAATTTCAGAATATTGCTCTTAGGAAAATTACTAATGCTACAACCTTTGTTTCGAATTACACAATACATAATGACCTGTCAATTAAAACCGTGGCTCTTATGAGTCAGGAATATCTCTTACAAAATTGGAAGTGTGATCAATAATCTTTAAAATATTTATAATAAAGTTTATCTAAAGATTCAGTTGTAGAGTGCCCTTACGTAGGAGTTATCATAAGTGCCCCATGCATTTCTTTTTTTTGTAATTCAGAATTTTTAAAAATTGTTCAACAAATACATTTTATAAACACTTTTAGTAATATCTTGTTAACCTTGAAGTTTCATTAAGAAATTGTTTTAAAAGTAAGTTTTTTTTTTTTCGTTCATTTATTAAGTAGTATTAAGAAAAGCATGTTTTTAAAAATTATTTTTTTATTTATTTTATTTTTTGTTTAAGGTAGAAAACTTGAAAGGAATATTCTATTAAAATTTATAATTTAATAGTTTTGGAAAAAAATGAATGAGTTTCTAACTGAACAATAATTTGCTAATTTTCGTGATTCTGATGAATTTTGTCAAAATTGAACTTTAAATGCATATACAAATAATCGTGCTGTTATGGATCTTTAATACCTTTGAACTGCTATTGAAGCAACTTATAAAGACCCTTGTATGTACCCCTTCATGATTTTTATCCAGTGAACATTTTTTATCTAAAATAATTTTAAAAAAAATTGCATAATAAATTGCCCAAAAAGTGTCAAAATACTGAGAAAATATTAGCAAAATATATGGAATATCCTGATATAAATATTTCGTGAACATTTTAAATATTATTAGTTTTCGAGTTTCACAAAAAAAAAATTGAATTGAATTCAAGAATTGGTTTCGTATACCTATAAATTCCCATTTTCTTTTGTTTTTCTCGATTCTTTGGACTGATAATTTTGATCATCCGAATGCACCAACTATATTCACTTTTCTATCAGAAAATATGCTGATGTCAAAATTTGGAGTATTTTTACTACCACAAATGTCTATGATAGGCAAAAAATAACACACAATCATTGTAAAATGGAAATACAATACATTCATTAGCTACACACTCATGAAATCTAAATAACATTAAACTTGGTATTGTATACCTCTAAATTCTAATAGTTGTTATATTTGGTTAAGATGCTTATTTAAAAAATAAATAGGGTTAAGTGAAAAAAATATTTTTAATATTGTTAAGCGGATGTCTTGAACAAAAGGTTTAAATGGGACGCAATTTGATAACGTGCACAACTTGTTCGGCCGGGGACTAGGATGACTTAGCCTCTACTCTTAGATGTTTATAACTTATTATGATTGTTT